AAGAAAAAACCGAAGTGTGCAAATAGGACTGGGACGCAATTTGCTGGAGAAGTACCAGACACAGTTGAGGCTGGATATCCCTCGTCGATGCAGATTTTCCTCCACGCACGCACCCTTTGAAATACAGACATTTGATTCCATTCGTCTGCCGAAACAGCAAATTTCGCGTATTTTCCAATCAGCTCATACTCTTCATCATTTTTGATTATGCTGCGCTTCATACGTGCTATTTCTTCTGAAAAACCCGAAAATTTAAATACTTTTCGACAAACAGAACAATTGTTATTGCCAGCGAACGCAAACCTTTACATAATTCCTTCACCACTCGGATGATGACATGCAGACCACTGTACTGTATTTCCTGTAACAGATTTTTCAGTCGCCCAATGGTGTTCCTCGAAAGGTTATTAGTAACTCTGCCAATACCCAGGCCTGACGTGATTCGTACCGGCAACAGATAGCCTGAAATGAGAATTCGCGGTCTCGTCCACATAAAAACTATTATAAAGTAACGTAGAACGTGCAATTACATGCCTGACAAAATTTGCGGCACAATTTTCTTCATAAACTTTTCGGTGAAGCCACTGCATAACACATCCCAAGATTTCCTTTCCTGCTCTAAACACCGCATGAAGGCCTCTTCCGAAACGCAGTCAACCAGTCCTAAATTGAGTGAATTTATACGATAAAATTTGCTTTGAGATGTGTAATTCTATCACACACTGAACGTTAAACGTACCGCATATCCGTTCTCTTCCGTGCTCCAATTGCACTTCTTGCCCGAATATTCCCAGCAATATTTTGTCCTGAACTTCCTTACTTGCTCCACACTGCCTCAACAAAATTTTAACGTTTGAACGTAGGTGGAGCTCGCAAAGCACGAAGTTGCACGGAGCCGCAAACAGTGTAGATTCTTTCCTCATCTCATTTTTAGTTGCTTCAAAATCGGTAACAATACAGCGTACTCTCTCATTCGAACTGCATTCAATTGCCATTGTGAGGAAGAATGTGAAACATGACACATCGTTTCGGGTTCTTTTGTTGCTGAACATGAATGCTCCAAAACAGACCACTGGTTCGCCATTTTTTTTTTCGAAAACTGCTGATTTGAAAACTAACGTCGTACAATAAAGATTGCCCAGTTTGAATGCCCTACCGAGGTAGCATTCCTCTGCTCCATTCTTGGATTCGTGCAGTATACGCTCGTTTTCAAATGAGAAGGTGGTAGTTCCTGCATTCGCAGGATGAACTCTGACGATTAATTCTTCCAAACTTTCGCGATTTTGCACGCAACTGGCTTTGAAATGCAACATCATTGTTCGGTTAGCA